ACAAAAATTTCAAAATAGCAACTAAAGAATAGCAATTTTTGCTTAATGGAAAGATATATGATCAAATTGATGAAATTAACATGGGGTATACCTTGGTCCCTAGCCATCCCAATGGCACAACGGTATGTCTGCGGACTTACAACGCTAGAAACCGAGTTTCGTTATCAGCGATGGGCAGAGCAAAGATATCCCATTGTGTAGCTTTGTGCTTAATTTAAAACAACATCAACAACTTGGCCCCTATATTAACCAGTGTATTTATGTGTTATCACGAAAAGTTTTGTTGAAGAAAAATGTGCTAAATAATTTAAACCGTGGTTATATAAAAAATATACGGATGATACTTTTACTATATTTGAGGATGAAAAACAGGCCCAGAAGAATATAACTTTATTTGAAACGTTTTTTCTTTACTTGTTTTTGTTAATGCAGTGTTGCAATAGACATAGGAAGGTTGTTCTAAATACAAAGAGGTTCCAATTGTAATATCTATTGTTTATTGGTTGGTAATTCCTGTTTCACCCTGTACTTAATCTTTTTAATGAAACACCATATTTTTGTAAATAAAAGCTAACTTCAAGGGGTAATGATAAGATCGTTTATGCTAGAATTATGATTTTTGTTATTACAACTAGTTATTAATAATACTTATAAAAGCAGATACTCTGTTCGAAACTATGTCACCTCAGTGAAATTGGTTGACACCATTGTTTTGGTTTTTGAGTTATGTAATAAAAAAGTAGCAGAAGAAATGAGAACAAAAAATCCAAACTTTTTGCTATGATATTTATAGATATTCTCAGAACTTGTGATTCAGTTATTACACAGATATTTCTATAAAAGGAAACACTGTATAGTATTGTAAAGTTCTAGTGACCTATTGAGGAGATATTTAAAATACCATTTCGATGAACTATCCGAGCAATTCCTGCATATATAACTTACGGTTCTAAGTCTGTTAATCACGAGCAAAGTTCTAGATCTAAAAGATTAAACTTAGGAAAGTTATCATTAGTGACTCAGAAAAACAACATTTTGTCTATAGCATCATCTGTGTTAAGAAGTGAACATTTCTGAGTCTATGCTTACCAGATATTTGTACCAAGATATGGAAGCACTAAAGCGACTTAGCTTTCCTATTGACACATTCCTGCAAAATGAATTTCTCTAATTTATTTCTGAAATGATTGTGTTTTTGTTTCCTCAGGTGAAGTTAAGATTCAAAAGAAAAAGGTTATAATGAATAAAATTTTCCAAGCAGATGCCAAGGCCGGAGGGGAGATGACGTTATATTATGTTCTTGCAGCTAGCTTTACCTAGACATTAAAATGTGGACATGCTTCATGTTAGAAATATTTAATAATTCGTATCAAGAAGAAGATATCACTCTGAGGCTGACAATCAGACGCCTTAGCGCTATCAGGAGCGGTTGTTTTTTGTAACTTCATGCATGGTACTATAGCAATTCTGAATTTTTACTTAAAGTATATAGAAATTTCATATAAGCATCATATAATATATCGACTTTACCTAAAAATATGTGAAAGCACGAGGGCCGCTTATGAAAAACGGGCATTTCGTCCTATCTCTTTTTACTTTTCTTATTTATCTGCTGATGGTTTGGTTATATGTAGAAACGGATTTAAAGTCACCGTTGCTGTTTGATAAAAATTACAATTTTATTAACCATGTAGCTAATGTTTTTACTGGGCCAATTATTCATTACGATATTTGTTTTAAAATTTAAACATGTACGTATTTGCTTAGAGAAGGAAATTTATTGGACAGTGCCAACATAGAACACGACTGACGATGATATTTTTAATACCCTTGTGTATACTTTGTTCTAGTTCAAATATAAAGAACCTAGTCACGATTTAAAGCGCAGGCTAGTAGCGTCATCGATCTGAAGACTCTATTGTTTAGAATTATAGTATTTTTTTTCTATTGTTTAATACGTTATCAGGCATGTGTAAGTGAATTCATTGCCTTCTGCGCCATTAACTGTAATAAAGCAACGACGGCCGGACTAGGCTCATAATGAAGTTTTTAACAAACAGAAAACGTTTTATATTTAAAAACAAGGATGTGGAGTCTGTTGAGAAGATAATCGTGTACTGTTTTTAAAAGTCAGTTTGTTTTAGTAAACTAAAACACAAAAACTGAAACCCGCTTGGAACACAAGCAGAACGTTAAGCTGAATAAATTAATTTCAGATAAAATAAAGGCGTTTGAACCATCAACTCAATAAATGTTGCACATGAGTGAAAAAGCATACACACGGACCAGAATTTCATTTATAAGAAGCACAACTGAACGTGAGATATGTTTGTGTTTCAATAGACAGGAAGTTTGGTTATTTGTTTTGAAATTAAGCACAAAGCTACACCATGGGCTATCTGTGTTATGCCCATCACGGGTATTGAAACTAGGTTTCTAGCGTTGTAAGTCCACAGATAGACAGGAAGTACAGAGAGAGCTAGTTCTCGCATTTGCTTTGGTTTCTAGGTTGTTTTTACTCTCTCCTAAATACAACTGTGTTATAAGGATATTCAGTAATAGTTATACTAGAATGTTATTTTTGCTGTCTTCACAAAGTATTTTTGTCAGCAACTGTTATTATACTTTCATCTGTAATTTTAACTTCCGTTGCGCAAACAGAAATTACAGCTAAGATGCAATAGTTATTTTGCCCAACACTTCTGAAATGTGTCGGTTATATAACAAGGTATCTGTAACTCAGGGCTAAAGTAAGTTAGTGCCGGAAACCCTCTATCTCTATAGCTTAACAGAGAGATGAATGGGGGTGAGTAAAATAATATTGGAATACGGAGTTGGCATTTTCTTTCATTAAACATTAAATTGTAGCGCAAAGTAGGGGGAACGACAAGATAAACATACTTTAGTGAAAGCTGTAAAATTTTCAATAAAGCACATTAAGCTATAAGGAATATATAGTCCTAGTACTTTAAAGTAATTCAATAATATTAGAATAAACACATAATACCGATATAAAATTTCTGTTCTATATTTTGCAGCGCACTAATATTCTATAATGTTTTACGAAGGTAACTTTTCTTATCCGTGTATTAATACTGAGTTATTAATCAATAAATTAAGCCAAAGTATGTGGTTTCTAAAGTGATAAGAAATTATTTTGCGTAAACGAAAGCTAATGAAGTATACTAACTGGATTATAGATAAGTCTATTATTAACACACATTTGATTAATTTTTATACAGTGAAGATGATACTTTCACTACACATTCAATTGACACATTTTTAAAGCTTAGATAAGACTTTACAGTACATTCACTTGACACAGTTTTAATGGTCTAGATAAATAGTCTACTACACAGTCATTTGATACATTTTTAAAGTTACTTATCTTGATGAGTTGGCAAATCTCCAAAAAAGCAAGCTGTTCGTTGACTGACTCCTGTGTCTGAAAGAACTCCATTTCACAATTTTTGAAATTGAAGAGATGATAAGATAAAACGTTACTAAAGTTAACGAAAATCAACTATCAATCGAATGTTTCAGTATTTCAAACAACTTTCTGATTGGTTCTTTAGACCTTATTAAGGTAACTCATCTTTCATGTTAAATAAAACAATAAAGAGTCAATGTATTGTTTTAACTAATATAGATTTTGGATTATCCCTGACTGAAACCAGTTCAGTTTATTAAGATTTCTTTTTCAAGCTCATTATGTTTTGTTTTACAATGTGTTTTGTTAAAGAACAGGAAAAAAATACTTTCGTGTTTATACGTGCCAGTTTCTGTACAAGCTTCATAGAACAATAAGAAAATAGTTACAGTCTATCACCAAGAGCCTAAATAAAAGAAAAGAACCGAAACTGTACGTATTCTAGCCATTTATATATATATATATAAACACAATGAAAGTTCAGTGCTCAGAGATCTTCCTTACAAACCAGATGATGATTCCTCGAACAACAGTATTATTTCTCATATAAAGTTAGTTTGGTTTTAGGTACAAGCTGTAATATAATAGGTGCTTTGCTTCTTGATGTGTGTCATGTTGTGTGTCATAATTAGGACATCTGATAGACTTCAAGGCTTTTCTATTGACGTCATCTCTGGTTCTTGGTAAAGTGTGTTCTCCAACGTTTCGAAGTCTAAGATATTAGTTATTTTCACTGTACTTTGAATCCGAAACATTTAAACGTCATTGTGATTTTGAGCATGCATTATCTTAAACGTGAAAAGTATAATTAAAATTGTGGAATTAATGTTTGTTGAACAAAAGTATCAAGTCATACCACGGTCATGGTGATTCTTCAGTTTTGGGGTTTTTTTTGTGTGCAATAGTTTTGGGAGACTAATTTAACCAGTAATCCTAATAATATTTCAATTGCACTGAAATCTGTAATATAACAGCAGTTAGTGGTCAACAATGTCTAATGCCAAACAAGAAAGATCTTAGTTTTGAATATCTATTGAAAATAATTTAGCAGAAATTTTTAGTGTTAGAAGTAAAAGTAAAAAAAAAAAAGCTTTATGCTTGCAGTAATTAAATGTATATTTCTACGTACGCCATCCTTTTAGTAAAATAATTCATACATATTAGAATATTTTTACAATTAGTATTAGTTAAGTGGAAAATCTCATTGATGAAAACAATGGACTTGTACATTTAGAAGCCAGTATAAACGTATTTAGAATTCTATTTCGCAATATTTATTCTCTAAAGACGCAATTATTAACTGCAATTAAATTATAATACCTTGTGAAATGTACTATTGCAGGTAAAATTTCAATGTTTTTTTTTTATATAACGCCCAGTCATAAGCTTTTCATTCATTGTGTCGGCCATGGATCCTTCTGTGAATAATTATAACTCACATGAAAAGTTTTATATTGTTCTATTTTACTTATTAATAAATGTAACTGGTGAATCCACAATGTTTTGACAGTTATATGTTTATTTCATAACATATCAAAATCTTTCGGTACATTTATTTCTCTCTAATTAGGTATTTCTCCCTCTTATCGCCCAGAAAGAAACTTTGATAATGTTAAGGAAGAGCCCCCTTCTCGTCCAAACAGCCACTTCACTAGTGATGGTTATAATCAGCCGTACTTTGGAAACAACACAGAGAGAAATGTTACCGTTCAGCTGGGGAAAACAGCTTATCTAAACTGTAAGATAAATCAGCTCGGAGACAGGACGGTGAGTTTATTATTGCACGCTCTATTCTCTTACTTTTAGCGGGTACTTTTCGAACCATTCAAATTGATTTTTTTTTCGTTTTTATATTTGCCTTGGAGTGCATTAAAATGTTTCATGGATAACTGTATTCGAACAGTATTACCTGGAGAATAAAAAATATTTAGAATCCTATTAATCTAAAAATGCTCGGACTTAAATAAATTAAGTGTTTTATTTTTCAATCCAAAATGAAAAAAAAGAGATAAGACTAATTTATTCGAGAGATATTTTTGGCACAAAGACAATGCACGTGGTACAGAAAAGCATAGATAGATATGTGCTAGCCTTGAGACATTTTGGCTTAAAATCTATATTGTAATTTTATTTGTCGGAACGTCAGATATTTTTTCTAAATTTAGCATTATTGGCCTCAGTTCATATTGCACTACCTCTTTAACCGTCCAGTTCATTACATGTGAGCATCAGCTGATATTGTACTACCTCTTTAACTATCCAGTTCATTACATGTGAACATCAGCTGATATTGCACTACCTCTTTAACTATACAGTTCATTACATGTGAAAATCAGTTGATATTGCACTACCTCTTTAACTATCCAGTTCATAACATGTGAAAATCAGTTGATATTGCACTACCTCTTTAACTATCCAGTTCATAACATGTGAGTATCATTTGATATTGGGCTACCTCTTTAACTATACAGTTCATTACATGTGAACATCAGTTGATATTGCACTACCTCTTTAACTATCCAGTTCATTACATGTGAAAATCAGTTGATATTGCACTACCTCTTTAACTATCCAGTTCATAACATGTGAACAATTCTTATAAAATGAAATGTAATGTATTTTCTTCTAACATCAAGAAAGTTCGAGAAACATTAGTATTGATAATGTAACTTTCATTGATGTAATGACAAAAAAAACAGCTAGATGATTTGTAACAATTATTTGGTTATATGAAGTAATATTAAACAGTTGGGATACTGGGTAATACCGTGGAGTTTTCAATAAAATAACTTAATTTCTTTCATTACTGACAAGATTTTAACATAGTTCAAGTAGATCATCAAGAAAAATAGTACAATTTTGTCGAAACTTTGTCAACAAAGATTAGTTAATTATCAAACAAAGTTTATCAAAACACTAGTACATATGCCGATGATGTATTTAGTAAGTTAAAGTTAACTCATAAATAAAAAAAATCTGAAATTATTGAAATTGTCATAGTATAACTTTCAAACAAGCAAATGCTATTATCTGTACATGCGCATAACTGCTGTAACCATCACATTAATCTAAGTTATAGTGTTAAAACCATGTACCTATCACACATCAATCTAAAGTATAGTGTTAAAACCGTGTAACTATGGCACATTAGTCTAAATTATAGTGTTCAAACCCTGTAACTATTGCACGTCTACCTAAAGTATAGTGTTAAAACCCTGTAACTATTGCACATCTACTTAAGGTATAGTGTTAAAACCCTGTAACTATTGCACATCTACCTAAGGTATAGTGTTAAAACCCTGTAACTATTGCACATATAGCTAAGGTGTAGTGTTAAAACCCCGTACTTATCACACATAATTCTAAAGTATAGTGCTAAAATCTTGTGACTACGGTACATCAATTTAAAGTATAGTGTTAAAACTCTGTAACTTTTGCACATCTAGCTAAGGTATAGTGTTGAAACCTTGTACCTATCACACCTCATCCTAATGTATAATGATAAAACCCTGAAACTATGGTACATCTAGCTAAAGTATAGTGATAATACCCTGTAACTATCATACATCAAGCTAAGGTATATTGCTAAAACCCTTTAACAATTACATTCAAAGCTAAGGTATGATGTTGAAACCTTATAACGACCACATAACAAGCAACAGGTAGAGTGTAAAAACCCTTTAAAAATCAAACACAAAATAAGAGTATGGTATTGAACCTTGCAGTTATCATACATCAAGCTAAAGTACAGTATCAAAACAGTCTTACCTAAAACATATCAAGCTAAAGTTCAATGTCAAAACCATTTAACTTTCACTCATCAAGCGAAGGTATAGATCAAACATCAATCTTAGATATAGTGTTAAACCCTGTATCTATCACATCTCAAGCTAAGATATAGTGTTAAAACACTTTAACAATCAAACATAAAGCAAATGTGTAGTGTTAAAACATTCTTACTTTCACGCATTAAATGAAGGTACAGTGTTAAAACTTTGTAACTATCACACATCCATTTAAGAAATTGTGTCAAAATCCTGCTTGTATCATATTTCCGAGTAAGGTATAATGTCAAAATCCTGTAACTATCACGCACCGTGTTAAGGTATAGTGTTAAAGCCTTGTATATATCACACATACATTTAAAATATTGTGTCAAAATTCTGCCTGTATCACATTTTAAGGTAAGGTATAATGTCAAAATCCTGTAACTATCACGCACCGTGTTAAGGTATACTGTTAAAACATTGTATATATCACACACAAAACAAAGGCATAGCGTTAAACCTTCTAAATATCACTCACAAAGCTAAAATATTGTGTTACAACACTCTTCCCGTCACCTATCACGCAAAGGCATAATGTGAAACCTTTTAACTATAACTAAGAAGTTGTATTAAGACACTCTTACTATCACACATAAATCTAAGATATAGCGTTGAAATCCTTTAAGAATCACACCTTAAGCTAAGGTATAATCTTAAACCTTGTAACTCTCACACAACCAGCTAAGGTGCATTGTTAAAACACTGCAACTATCACATATTAAGTTAAGATATAATTGTAGTGTTAAAACCTTTTATATATCACACAACAAGCTAAGGTATAGTATTAAAACTTTGTAACTATCATCCATCAAGCCAAGGTATAGTGATAAATCCTTGTAAATACTACATATCAAGCTAAAGTATATTTATAGAATTAAAGAAAACAATTCAAAGTTTCACAAATATTTCATTTATTACTACAATGGTATTACCAGTAAAGACATCGACAATTTCATCAACTACCAATCGTTTTAGGTATTAATTATATTAAGATATAGAGTTATATCCATGTAACTATCGTACATCAAGTAAAGGTATAATATCAAAATCCTATGTATATACCAGTCAACATAACGTACTCACATATAAGGCAGAAAAGGTCTACACACAATTCTACAGTTCTTCGGGTGTGGACTCAGCCATTAACCAATCAATTAGTGATAGAAGTGGAGACAAAGTTAATTATCTTTGAGAGCTGAGGTTCATGTTTTAGTTATGGATTTTCTTAAACTAAATTTATTTTGCTAGACTTTCGTTCAGAAATAGTCTACTTCTGGGATGCTTGTCACTTAGCTTCAAAGCCTTAATTAAGTTAAAGGACTGAGACGCGCTTCAAAAGACCAGAGGAACAACCAGTTTATTACTTGGACTTTAAAGTAGAAATTCATGACGCTAATCTAATGAAAAGGTCTTTTAAAACAAACATACACCTGAAATAAGCAAAGTTTAAGTAACTTCTTATCAAAAGAAATAGTTCTCCAATTAAAACACTAGAGACTGTATATATATTAAATACTTATTTATTCTTCTTAGTTAATCGGTATAGTTCTCCCGGCAAGTAGCCAATCATGAACCAGTTAATTTAGTCTTCTCGATAAGCAGTTTTTATGGTATAATGATATACAGAACAGTGTAGATAATGCTTAAATAAGAACAAAAAACAGCCTCATGCAGATTCCTCCATGAATATTTGTAATTAATATTTGTTCAGGAAACTATATGTTTAAAGAGAGAGAGAGAGAGAAGTATAACTAGGGAATTTAATTCCAAATACAAGCCCGGAGAACAGGAAGCGTTCGTTCGCACACATAACAGATACAAAAGACTGCTAATGTACAAGCTACAGTGTGAAAACAATGCAAGTTTCAAACGCTGTACCCACATCTGCTCCTAAATTTCATTCCATTGCACATGTTAGGCTTAGAAATGGAGAGTAAATCTAATTGACGATGTGGGTTCCTAAACCCACAAATACTTTTCCCAGCTGCAACTATTTTACTTTTTTCTTCTCCATGTGTTTAGTTTAAGCTACCATTTACTGTCTGCAACCAGTTGTTGGCGTGTAGGTATTCTCTATTCAAAAGCAAAATAAAAGAAAATTAAACAACAAAAAAGTGAAACTGAAACACAATACAGCAACTACCCGCTGAAGTTGATATTGCACTCCTCATAATTTTCAAAATTTGTGTTTACAACATGATACAACCTTAAATGAAAGAATAAAAATACACTATTACGCAAATATAAAGATACCCTTTTCTTTGTAGCTAAGCAGTTTAACATAAAACCTACATCTTCACCAGTAAGTTCTTCAAACAAATAATCAATTGTAAAAGTGTATAATCGTACTCAGCTAAAACATATCTGGTCTGAAAATACAAAGAAACAATTCAACTTAATGAAGGAAAGAAATATACCTCGTCAACATTCCGGCTTAACGACTTGATCGTTTGGTTGAAAGGTTCACTGTATGGAATTTTTCTATTTGTATTTTAAAATTTTCTCACGATGTATCTGCATTCGTTCGTTTCTCCAATAAATTGCATAAAACAAGTCCAAACGTAATTCACATTTTGGAATAATGGAGTGACACAGGAGATGTAAATTCATAGGGAAAGAATCTATAAATATGGGTTGAACAATGCATAATGGTTATTGATACGGGCTGCATATTGGAAGGTCCAAGAGTCGTGTCTTGATATGTCGCTGAACACGCTCCGCAGTTTTAGCTGTAAGAGTGGTATAACCGTAACAGCCAATCCTGTTATTTGGTTAAGAGTAATCGAATAGACGGTGGGTGATACTAATTCCTTGTATTCCTGTAGTTAGTTGCTTAAGATTAGGGTGTTTGATCTAATAGTTTAACCCACGTGTCGCATAAGGTAATTATCGCATCATTATTACTACTATTCTTTTATTAAGACATAGGGACATTTTTTA